TGAAATGTTTTGAATCGTCATCAATATGCAGGTGTTACGTTGCGAATTACGTGAATGCAATGAAGTATGTCGTGTTGTGTTATGGTTAAAAACAAAATGTAAATATGTGAGGAAGCCACACGTAATAAAAAAACCTAGCCATAAGTTAACAATTTTTTTTTCACTGTCGTGGGTGGTTGGCGGGTGCTCTGGTGTGGTTTGCTTCTTCTTTCCTATCAAACATCTATCGTCCTGATCTCTCCTTTTTTATATTTGTTACTCTCTTGTAACACCTCTAATCTTCTCTCGCTCATATGACCTTATGTAGTTGCGAGCACCGTAAAACCTCTACTAAAACTTTAAAAAAGTTAAGTTGATTGTAAAACGAGTGTAAAATGTTTTGAATCGTCATCAATATGCAGGTGGTAAGTAGCGAATTACATGAATGCACTGAAGTACGTCGTGTTACATGGTTAAAAACAAGATAGAAGAAAGTGAGAAAGACATATGTATAAAAAAACCCAACCGTAAGTTTAAATTATTTTTCCTCCATTGTCTAGATCGTTCATCTGATGGTGAGGAGGATCCAAAGAGCGGCCCGAGACCAAGGTTCAGAGGAAGGTTCCTGCCACACAGACGGACACGCGCAGGGAAAAAGGAGGTGGTCTTTATGAAAAACTTGAGATATAATACAGTGTAGACTACCCCCCCCTCCCCTCTCGCCAATTTCGAGCAGCTTGACTTAGTGGAGGGTCACAATGTGGTTGCAGTTATGTTTTAACTCTTTGGGGACGTAATAGTCAAATTATTATCATGTCCGATTAATTAGCAACAGACCAAAGGCAATGGTGCAGCAATTTCGAGCCATAATCACACACCAGTGAGAAATATAAATTTGCTTGTTTCACAGTAAGAAAAGATAAGATAAGATAAATCTTTACTATCCAAGAGGGACATTTTTCTTGGCTGTACAGGACCGTAAAAACACACGCAGGTATACACAAAAATTAAATTATATATTATTCTCATTAAAATTCAATATGAAAAGAGAAGTAAAGCTGAGGAAAGGTACATATCACACCCGATGCATCATTCAACCACATGCAGGAATCTAATTACAAGACCTTTGTAGTTATATATAGATACGTACTCTAAGAGCAACACACATCTATGCTCATTCTGACAAAAGCCTTATTCTAGATGGTAAAAACTTCTTTTATATTTTTCTTTCTATTGTTGCTTGTCTTTTAAAGTCTGCCTTACTTTTAATTTCATCACGTATCTTAACTTACCCGTCTCGTGGCTCGACAGAGCAGAAGAATGCAGTACCTAGGCGATCTGAACAATTAACTACTAGCCAGTTGCTGTAACAATATATA